TTGACTAGGATTTCCCAGATTTGAGCCCGCTCTCCATGATGCTGATCAGCTGATCTCCATATGTTGCATGGAACATGAACGTGATGGGCTTCTTCGCGAACGGCTTGATCTTTCTCTCTTCTTCAATGGATGGTGGTGCCGGCCTTCGCATTCTGGATTTTGCCTGGGCTGCGCCTTCATCTTCATGGGGCGCGTCGGATCTTGAAGGATGCGGACTTGGAGGAATGGACTCTGTTGGAAGATCGTAGTCCGGTTCTTCTTGACGAGGTTCACGCTTCTGTCCAGGCCAAAGGGGGCGTCCAAAGTATTGGAGATCGATTTGTCGAGTATGACCGCTGTTGCATCTCACGTAGAATTCCATCTCTGGATCATTGAGGAATCCTCTGCCATCAGGCCTGAGTGCATCATATGCGGATCTGGATGTGAGGTTGTCGATCCATCGATTCCTTGGAACAATGCATCCCTTGTCCTTGCGTTCCTTGTATGACCCGTCCACGGATGGATGCACAAACGCAATCTCGAAACGTGCCTTTCCATAATCCGGGAACATAGTCATCAGGAAAAGTCCTGGCTTATTGCCCATGAAGTTCCTCGCATGTGTAATGCATCCCAATGCATCGTAGAGCTCAACGGATCCGTCAGGATTCATTTCCACTTGTCGTCGGCATTCTCTGTGGGTTGCCTGATTTGGATCATGTTGAAAGCATCCGGAAAACAATCTGCTCAATCGCTCGATTCGCCAGAGGATGAGGTCGGTGATCTGTTTTGCCTTGGATGGATCCATGTGGAAATAGCTGCAAACCTGCTCAACATTCTGGACGGTCCGGTCAAGATCAATCATGCGGTTGTGGCATACCTTCGGGATGATGTCGGTTCCGAAATCTTCCGGCTGAGCATTGTAGCAGCAGATACTGTAAACTTTCTTGATGAAGTCCATGTATTGTCTCTCTGCATGTTGGCCTTCACCTTGGAGTGTTGGCTGCCAGTAATCATTGAATCTGGCTCTCAACCAGAATACCCTGGCTCCAGGTTCTCGTTCATGCTCAGGAATGAAGTGGAAGTCCGGATACAAGTCGAGGATGGTAGAGCACTCCCTGTAGTATTCGGCCACGAAGGTGAGGAATCGAGAATTCCAGAAAGGTCCTGGATGTACGGATATCCTCTGGAGGTAGATGCCGGTATCTGATTCTTCGGATGTATACCACCGATCGTTGGATGTGAGAGTTGTCCGCATCGCTGGTCGCCTTGGAAGTGCAGGTCGTTCACCAGGATTGTTGTCGGATTCTGTCTCCTCATCCAGGATGTTCTTTGGTGCTGGCTTGACCTTTGAGACAAGCCTCAGTGCTGGTGGCGGTGACTTTGGAACAAGTTTTGGATGTGTCATCGCCTTCGACGTCGGCCTTCCTGCGGGAGGATGCCCTTCTTCATCTGAATCATCGTCGCCGGAATCTGGATCATAATCAACCTGCTCCATGTTGACATTCTCGGGTTGTTGAGAGGCGGATGGATTCTCATCAGCGACTTGCTCCATGGGGCAGTCGGACGTCTCATCTTCCTCATCACGAGCAGGGGATTCCTTCAACGGAGATGCCCGTCTCTTCACCAGCGGCTTCGGCGAAGGAGCCGCAGTGCAAAGATCATATTGAGAATCGGCATGTCTTCGAGGTGATCAAGCATACACGATTGCAAAGGTCGGAATGGTTGTAAACCAAGTGGCTGCGGATGCAGACACATATTTCTTGAGATTCAAAATGGGTCAAGTGCAAAAACACGCATCACGGATTTGAGGAATTGAAAATGTGCAAAATGAAAAACTCATGCATCAGAATTCGTGAACATGCGGATCATGCCCAGGTTCCCCAATAAGCAAACATGGATTCTGCAAATACCGACTCCTGCAAAGGCAATGAGGTCGGGTCCGTGCTTCGTCTGTGTGCCAGCCGCTCAACCAAAAATGCCTTGTTCTGTAACATAGTACGGAAAGGTGGATGTGCATCAACATTCAAGAGATTGCCGGTGAGACTTGATGAGCTCGTCTGCTTTAGCTGAATGCTTGGTCAGCGAATCTGCCAGGCAATCTTCACTTCGTACATGTGCAAGGTCATGCATCTGTCCGCTGTTGCTTTCTTTTCTCAACATTTGGATCAAATGCATTGTTTCTTTCTGTTCCGGTTGATGTGTTGTGGATGCTGTTGTGACAAGATTATTCGCATCAGTGCGGATGTGTAAATCTGCGATTTCGCCTGTTATGTCTGACCAGAGACCGCGAAGAAATAATGCTGAACCGTAACAACGCATCAGTCCGTGCAATTCTGCAACAGTAGTGGACATTGTTGTGGCGGTGATCTTATGCGTCTCATAGTCGACCAATGAGCCTCTCGAGTTCGATGAGCCCTGGCGAAGATCTCTTTGTTCTGCAAGAAATATAACATGCGCACGTTGGGATGACTTATCTTCATTGTTGCGATAGGATGCATCTGGATACCAACTTTGCGTGTCTTGCCACGAAGGGGCCAGAATCTGATACTAAGCGGAATGCTTTTGATGGTTCTGACTGTCTTATTAATGGTGCGAACGTCCTCAATGGTCGGAGATGATGCCTTGGATGCGCGCCTGGAGAATTGATAACCAATGTGGAATTGCGTTCGCGATTGTAACCAATTGATCTGCCCTAAGACACTTCTGTATGCAGTGTGCATTTGTGGAGTGAGAGGAGTGTCGTCCTTCAGGTTTTTTTCAAAGGTGATCTCCTGAAGTTCGTCAATGGCAACGTTCTGATGGACATTGATGTACCAGCCAGCCATGCTTGTCGTCTTGCTTCCATTGGATGCGTTGTCCTACGAAGAGGCAATCATTTTTGTCTTCGGAACCAACTTGAAAATCTTTTCGAAATCGTCCCATGATTTCCTTCTCGAACACATCGTCACCCGTCATAAGAAGATCATCAACATGAAGAGAAAGTGCTCCATGAACTTGTCGATTCTTGGCATTGCTACCGGAAACGGGATCCATGAGGTAATCAACTGCTCCTTCTAGATCGAAAGTATTTGGATGATTTCTTTTCACTCATCAATGCGGCTGCTTGCCGTAGTAGACATATGTACAACGGTCTGCCCTGGTTGGCACTAATCCGTAAGAACGGAGTGCCGAATCAAGGATGTTCCACCATCTGCGGGGTGCGTCATTTAGTCCGTAGGCAGGCTTCTTCATGCGCCCTCCAATGTGTGGTGGATATCCCATTTCAGGAAAGATCTGACAAATGACGTCACGAGTCTGATCGTATGCTTCGCCTTGGAGGAATGCTGTCTTCAAGTCCATGTGGAATATATTCCAGCCTTTATTTGCGGCTGCTTGGATTGCAAGGCGGAAGCCACTCCTGGATGCCGCAGGACTGTCTGTCTGCTGATCGTTCTTCTGCTTGTCTTGGACCCAGCGAGCCTTGGTCTTTGTCTCGCTTTAGGGTAAGGACCCAGCGACCGGTAACCCAGTTCCTGACATGAATCTTGCGTGTGTCGACCAAGTCGAACACTTCGTTATCAAGCCAAGATTTGCACTCAAGAAGCTTAGCCTCAAGGAATTGCTTCTGATAAGCTCTTGTCTCCGTGGCTGTCGCTTCCTTCCGCTTCTTGCCAATGAGTACGGATGTGGATGAAGCCTTCAAGGATTCTTGCTTGGAGGAGTGCAAGACTAAGAGTGCACGGTCATCGTCGGTCATGTTCTTGCATAACCGGTCAACATGATTCTTATCTGTGTATTTCTGATGAGAGAATCCGCATCGGGGCCATGGTTTGAAGGTCCCTTTCAGACGTGCAAGGAGGACAGGGTGGTTGCCTTCAATATCTCTCGGAACCGTAAAGGATCCGGTATTCGCACAGATCTTCTGCTCGGCTGTCACGAATGACCAGTGTGCCTCATCGAGAACGAGGTCAGCTTCGTGATCATCGTAAGCTCTGGTCCTCTGAGAGTCTTCTGATTCTCCATCTTCTTGGTCAGTATATCTCGTTCTCTCTGAACTTCCAGTGCCGGATCATGAGGGATCAGTTCTTCCTCACTATCGGATTGTACCGGCAAGTTTACTGGATTGCTCGAGTACCGGCTGCTGATGTCGAGCAATTGTTCTGTTGTTTGCGTCCTGTACGGACTGTCGAAATGATGGGGACTGTGCCTTGTAGACGGGCATCAAGTCCATCCATGCTGCCTTCAATACCATGAGAAGGATTTCAATTTGGATGTGAAAATGAGGAACTCTTGGTTCTGCCTTCTGTGATTGAAGAAACTGAGGAGCCTGTACAGATACACGTTGGTCGCACCTTTCAGGAAGTACTTCTTCAGCGTGTTCTTGAAATAGTTGACTCCTTCATCAGGATCTTGCAAAAGGTCAGTTTGGAGGACTGCCTTGTACATGTAAGCATCTCCTGTGAGTCTGCTTTTGAGGAGTGGTCCTTTGTTGGGTGCTTCCACCGTGGTGATTGTCACCCAGTCGTCCACGAGTTCTTCATACCTGAACCAGCTGTCTTTTCCGTCGTACGATGGCGGCTGCTTGGCGGTCATCGATAAGTTGAGTGTTTCCTCCGTATAGCCGGATGATTTGGCCATACTTGAATAGGCCTCCATGAAGCCTTCTCCATCGGATGACATTTTTCCTTGGATCTCTGCAGAAAACCTGCTCCGCTACCACAATTGAGGCCCACTACCGGGGGTGCCTATCCCAGAAAGGAACTGGTACCCTGTGGTAGTAGAGGTCGTTTATGTGGTCCCTGGATCTATTCCGGAGAGAGTCTAATATGCCAATATGGATGATTGGAGGATGGATTGTCCCTGGTGGATTGTATTGTTGTATAATCCTGTAAGCGGCCTGCAAAGGTTCCTTTGTCACGCAATCATGAGTGTTGCTATGGTACAGAAGGGCCTTGAGCCAAATGGTTGCGGGCGATCAACATTGGTCAAAAACAGACACAGGGGGGGCAAAAGATGAGGCAGAAACCCTTGAACTGCGTCAGGTGGAGGGCATCCGAGCAGCGCAGAAGGACGTGGAGGCCGGCCGAAGCAGGGTGGCCAAACATCGCCGCGTCCCTTCTTGCTATTGGGTTGGATCTTTAGACTTTGAAACAGGTCGGATATGGTCGGATTGCCCGTGGACCCACAACAAGTTCAACTTTTTGCAGAGGGCCTTGAGATGTCCCTTTCAGACCCGGCGATGGGGATTTCGATTTTGGAATTCTCCCGACTAGAAGTGTGCGTTGCTAGGCTTCCATGGCAAGAAGTGTTGCCATTCCGGCCGCGACAAGGTGAAGGTACACCACGTGAAACACCACTTCGTTGCTTGCGCTTGTGCTAGGTGCCGCTTTGCTGTGTTTCAGGGCCAGTACGCCTGCCAGAGGCCCACGCATCCTGTGCCGGCAGCTGCTTGTTTCTTGGCCATCGAAACTGAACCACTCGCCAGTGGGCCCCCCTGACCGTCCAAAGATGAACTCCAAAGTGTGCGCCAGGGCAGGCTCCGGAAGCTCGGAGTGGTGAAGAAGGACTCAAACGAGCTTTGGCAGCACAGTGCCCGAGGCTGTCGGGCTTCTGGTTGGCCAATGGCTCGGGTCATTTGACGTGTCGATTGTTTGGATGTAAAGGGAAGCTAGTTTTTGGAGGGCCCCTCTGGTCCACTTTGGATTTCAAGAGAGCCCAAACTCCAACTCCATGTTTCCAAACCACGACTCGCATACGACAAATGAGTGTCTTGCAAAGAACGGCTATCGGCTATCGCCCCCTTTTTGCGATGGAAATTCCATGGGAGTAAGGTGGCGGCGGGAGACCTGCCATGCCGCCGATGCAGATGCATGTTGCGTCTTGCATTCGAGGTTGTCATCAGTGCACCAAAGGAAATCCTAAGCGGAGAGCCAGCTGGGATGCAGACCTTGCAATTCAAGGTTCACACGAAAGTGGGTCATTTGTAAGGCATGAGCACGCGTTGTCGTTGTTTTTGCACGCGCTGGAAGTACGGGGGGGCAGGCCTTCCAGCGGTATTATGACTGTGTGTGCTTCCCCTGGTGAAGATTCCGTAATGCTCCGGCAAGAGCACAAACTCAGCGCAGCCCCGACCACAAATCAATGAGCATCTAGGGAGGGGCATGCGGCATCCGCCTACTGCACTCGAATGTGAGGCAAGGGGTTGGGGCATGTGAAGGGAACGCATCTTTCGAGCGTGTCTGCAAAAACTTGGATGCGGACTAAACAAAGCATCCCCCACTCCAGGACATATTCCTGGATGCGGGCCTGACAAGCCCCGACCGGGCATCGAGGCAAAACAAAGCACCCACACACACACAGACATGCCACAGGCTGCACCAGGTTTTGGTGCAACGTCCCTACTTGATAGCCTCTCCAAATTTTGCGCGCTTGATTTGGTCTGGTTGAGTTTGGTTTGTAAAGCGTCCAAACCAGCACGCCAGAGGCACGATCACCCAGTGGCAACCCTAAACCACTCCCCCACTGCAAAATGAGCCACACAAACCAAGCCGAGGTTTAATCCAAAACAACCCCAGACTCTCAATCACCAAGTTTTCGTTGTAGGCTAAGCCTTTCCAGCACTTATGCCAATGCAACCACTCGAGCTCTACTCGACCTCTTGTGCTTGTGCCAGGAAGAGGTGGGGGTGCGCTGCTTTTGGCATAAAGGCTTGGGGGCCAAGGTTGAAAGCAACGTCGAATCCAACGCCGTGGAGTCTAACACAGTCGCAGAGTCCAACACTGCCCGGCCCCTGGCCCCGTGTCCAGAGGAGCTCAAGGGCAAAACTCTGCCTATCCCTACTGGGAATATATAGTGTTTTCTTGTGTTTTCAGAAGGGTTCATCCTTTTTGCAGCACTTGTCATACGAATTGCTTGTTGCCGAGAAATTCCCAGAAAATACTGCGTGCTTGTCGGCCGTTTGAGTCCTCCGCTGCCATATATGCGACGCGTTATTTTTGAGGGTGCCTTAAAGGAAATCCAAATGGAAAACAAAGCATTTTGGGTGGCCCAATTTTGCTCCAATTTTACACACACGCAGTGCAGCGCCAGGTTGAAAGCAACAAGGTGGAGACCAACTTGCCGAGCAATCCCATGCAACAGGCCTCGTTTCAGGTGTCCGTTGCGGGAATATTTGAGCCGTTCCTGGACCGCATCGCCCGGTTTCCCACTTGGGTGCGTCTCTTTCTGAGGGTGCCTTGTTGTTTTAAACAGAAACCAAAGGGACCTGGCTGATTGCGAGCAAAGACTTTCAAGGCAAAGGGAATCCGGGCCGACAGTCAACTTGAAAGCGGGCAAGGGAGGGGCTCCCTCACCCTTGTGGATTGGTAGGGCGGTCCACTGACGAGTTTGACCATGATCCGCAAGCAGAGCAAGGCAAAGAGTTGTGAACAGGGAAACCAAAAAAGGAGACCGCTCATTCTTGTATATGTGTGCATTTGTCTTTCTTCTTTTTGGGGGGGTCCCCGATTTTAACACGCACAAACGCTCACACATGTATCACATTTCCTGCTGTGCAGGTCGCGAGTCCTATGATGGCGCCAGCTGCAGCGGAGAGCCTGGGTCCCGCTGGGCGGTGAGGGGGGAGGAAGCTCAAGGCTTTGCTGCACCCACTGCCACATGGACTTCTCAAAGCAAGGGCCGCCTGATTGTTGCAAGGACACCAAACTCAGTAATTATATGCGAGTTGCCCTCGATGTTTCAAACACAATGTATGCAAGTCTAGTCACCCGAGTTGGCCAATAGTTCAGGCATGCGCAGGCAGCAGGACAGGTGCACACACACCCCTCACAGGCGGCATGGCGGCATCCAAGACATGGGTGCCGCCGCTCCGAGGCCGCAGGCCCTAAGCCCTCATTTGAAGCTGGTTGATTTGTTTTGCACGGTGGTTTCAGTTAGAAGCAGAACAACGTCAACAAGAACCCGCCATGCATGTGTTGGCATGTGCTGTTTGAAGGAATTGCTGTGCGAGTGGGCTCAGTTCGCAGTCTTGCCGAGGCTGCGTAACTTCAAGTGAAAAGCGCACCGACAGTCGAATCCCTCTTGCCTTGACTTATTGGGGATCGCGCCTTAGCAAGGCCGGCGCCGCGCTTGCGTTAGAGATTGTCGCCCCCCTGAACTTGGCGACAGGCCATGGTGTGGGCTTGGGGTTTCCTGCGGAGATTCGCGACCTTCGTCAGTACTTGATTTGCAGCGAAGCTACTTCAACACTTCCCCAGCCTGGCCAAGCCTAGGGACCCTGCGGCTGGTATTGCGCACAAGCCAAAGATCTGTCCGACATCGCCGAGGCGCGACGCCCGCCAGCTGCGAGGTCCAAGTAGCACCTTGGCACCGGGGGGAAGTTGCCCGTGAGGTTGACGCGATTCTGACTCTCGAGGATTGTTTGTTGCCGTTTGTTTTGACTTGCCTGCGATTGCGTCCTGAAAGCATAGGCCCAAGTCTTGCACGAGGCCCGGAGGTAAAGGGTCCGAAAGACATGCCACGTGACGATTTTTATTTAATGTTGGACCCTCTTTGATATGCCCTCCCTCCTCAGTCATTTGGAGCCTTTTTATTGGACAAGGGGGGTCTGGGTCGCAGTCTGGGTTGGGTCAGCAATGCCCACTCTATTTTAGTGCTGTTTGCGCTGTTTTGCCCTCATTTATTCGGGGGGGGGGGAACATTTTCAGAAGCCCCAAAGCAATCCCAGGATTCAGAACTAGGAATGGCGACCCCAATTAAACAGGGTCCATCATGGATTTGCATGTTTTTTTGAGGATTGGAATGCGGGGGCCTCCAACATGAAGCCGGATCTGACTTTAAATTATTGTTGGTGAGTTTGGCCAAGGGGCTTCGTTGCTCCCTGGAGCCTTGGGGTCTCCTCCGAAACGAGTTTAAGTTGTTTTTTCGTTCTTTGTTGTTGTTTTTGTCTTCTTTCTTACTTTTTCTCCTTTGGGTGGGGAGAAGGCTGAAGATAAACAGGTTTATGATGTTTTATTTCCCCCCCTTTTCAGGGGGGGGGGGGTAGACTAGATATTCAGACCACCCCCCCGCCATTGGTTTGGAGGTTGGTTTGATCCCAGGCTCCTTTTGATTCACAAAATCGGAAAGGTACGGGTGCCCTGGCGTCCATAAACCAAATCGCCAAGGGTAAGGTCAGAATTGGAACAAACCATATGGTTTGGTCAGAAAAATGTCAGAGGCAGTCAGAGTCATTTTGGGTATGGTCAAAATTAAATCACCAGGATATGGACAGCAGGTCCGAGTCAACTTGTTTCCATTTACCAGGGTGACCCATTTTGGGCTTGCCTTCATTTTTGACAACCGCACCCATCTATTATGTTCTTTGTTCCCCAGCTTCGTGATCCGATCTCTGAGGTTCTACCCTCCGGAGAGACACGGAAGATTGAGCTGCCAGGGGCTCAAGCGACCGTCCGTGGGATGGGATTTGGGGGGTGGGCTCAAAGGGAAACCAAGGGGACGCCAAATAGTTCAAGATTTGGAGGATTCTCTTGGTGTTGCTGATCCCGTGGGTTGGAACAGCACTTTCATGGCATAGATTTGCGGATTGGCCAAGGACCCTACAAAATGAGGGTGATTTGCGAAGAAAACAACAATCTGCAAAATGGGTCCCTGAAGAATGGGCCCTTTGGATATGTCATCCCACCTGGTTGATCAGTTGTTGAACCTTTTGACCTTCAAGCCAAGTTGACGGCAAAACCCTCGCCCTTCGCCCTCAGTCACCTTTTGCTTTGTCCATTTTTGTTGCGCTTGAGACTGCCGTTCCGCTGCCTTTCAAGCCGTCGAAGGTGGGTTAGAGAGCTCATTAGCCTGCCGTGGTGACCTTTCTTGCTGCAAAGCGGCTGAAGAGGGCTCTGTTGAATGCTTTTTGTAAGCCAGGGTCGCGGGGTTTTGGCGGCAATTGGTTGCACCCTTGGTGCCCTTTGGGTATGAGTTGCGTGAATAAAAAAGAACGCCACACCCGTGCAAGCCATGTTTGCACTCAGCGGCACACGTGTGGTAGCAGGGGTTGGCGAACGGCCGCTTCAGAGAAGTCGCATTATACGGGTCATGTTAACAGACCAGGGCAGTTCGTTGCAGGTGAAACATGCAAGACCCTTCAGAATAGAATGAACCTCCCACGGCCACCAGGCTTGGAGATGCCACGCTGGAGCAGTTTTTAGAGGCGGTAAAGGCCGGCTGGAGTGTGTCAGGTAAGCTTTGGTGGTTTGGTTTGGTGGTTCGAGGTTAGGGCCGGTTAGGGGGTGGAGGGCTTTGAATCCCCAAAACACCAATCCAAACCACCAAAGGGCAAGGTGAGTGTGGCAACGGAGGGGCCGTCGATATCCGAAGGGTCGATTGTGTGATCCGTGGTGACCTCTTTGCTTTAAACGTCTGAATGAAATCAGCATGATACTCAGGTGGCTTGGCCTGTTTCGGACATTTGTGATTGGAGGTCAGCAATGCTAGTCGCGGAGCTTGCTGCGCTATCGGAACAAACGACAGCAATGAGTAGATGACAAGCTCCCAGCAAACGATCAATCGAGTCGTCAATCAACCAACGACCGATCAAGCAGGCAGGCAACCAGTTAATTAGTCAGTTAGTCTGCCAGCCAGCCAGTCAGTCAATCAGTCAGTCAATCAGTCAATCAATCAGTTAATCGATCGATCGATCAATCAATCAATCAACCAATTAATTCATCAATCAATCCCTTGGCCCTCTTTTTGCTTGAAGTTGACGCGGGAACTCTTCTCCAAGCAGCGCCTGTCAAAAGAAGGACTTTTGGTGGAGTTTGACGCTCTGAGCTGAAGGTTAGGGGATTGGGCCATGCCGTGTAGAGCTGCCACCCCTGCAGGCAGCTGTGCCTGGCTTGCGGTTGCCCTGCATCAAGCAGCAGGAGCAGCTGTTGTTTCTTGTTTGGCCGCTGGGCAGCGAGAGGTGACAAATCAAGACCCTTGGAGATGTCAACTGTGGATAATATTTTACTTCACTGTTGTTGGCTGGTTGTTTTTCGGCTTCTAGGGGTTTTAGTTCTCTTCATCCTTAGTGGGGGCTGTAAAAAGTAAAGTGTGTTTGCTTTTTTTGCACGAATGAGTCGTTTTCTTTTTGTTTATTCGGGAGCACCCAGCGCAAACTGCCTTTTTCGGTGTGCAGTGTTCATCACCTAACGGTATAGGAATGCTTTAAGTCTCTGGATTTTTTTGTTTGCCACCGGGCAATCTCCCAAGGTAAGTGGCCAAGGCAGGTTTGCCTTATTGCCTTATTCCCTTGCACGGAATCTTCTCGGGGAAATCCTGTTTTTCTTTTGCCGAATTTTCGCCAGGAGCAGCAAGAGCAGTGGCCAAGACTAGAGGCAAAAGGGGCATTGGGCTTGCGCGTCCGGCACAGCTCACAGGAGCCACAATCATAACCCAGGTAGATGAAGGTTAGTAAGGGACAGTCCCAACCAAAAATGGGTGCACCCGCCTTTTGATTCTTTACACTGTTCTGGGTAGGCCATTTCGATATCAGGTTGTGATTGTGACTCACAGGAGACTTGCAGAAAGCTTTCCAGTGGAGGCTCCTTTTTGCTGAAAACTAATCTTTCCTTGAGGTGCCCCCCTTTCGCTCATTTTGGGTTTTTGCAAAGCCATGAAACTCGGAGTTGATATGCTTGGGGCCGAAGAGCAGTTGCCAGGCGTGATTGTGTTTCCACCATATTGCGGAAATGAGCTGTGTTTGGTGATTTAGTGCAAATCGACTAGAGCAAGGCAAGTGTTCATTGTGGCACTCCGGTTGATGCAAGTCCTTTCAAGAAGCAGCGGATGAATTTCAGGAAGGCAGAAGGGTAGTTAAGTATGGGCAAGAAAGGGAGGAGCAAGAAGGTCTGAGAGACCCGCGGAAACGCATGAACACCATCCAGGTTGTCTTTGAAAAGGGCGCGCCTGAACGTTAGCCGTGTCAAACTAGAACGTGTTCTTCCCCACGAGGCCTTGGTTTAGTTCGGCTTCGTTTTGCTGCTCTTTGTCATTTTGAATCAGTGCCTGACAGAGAAGACTGCTTGAACCAACGCCAGGAAACTGCGGCTTGCTTGGTTCCATTGGGAGTGCCGCTTGCCCAGGCGTCCCTGTCGGGAGGCAAGGACAAGAAGAGGAAAGGCAAGGGTAAGGCTCGGGGTGTCGTGCGGACGGGAGGACTCGACTTCGGTCGTAGAACGGAGCGTGGGCTTGAAAAAACACGTGTTTTGGTCCGCTGCTAAGGAAGAACCAAATGGCGAGGGCATTTTGACGAGAGCTTTCAGTTTGGGATTCTGTCTGAAAAGATTGGCTTCCTCTCAGCTGCCGAGGGCAAGCGGCCGTTCGCCACAGTTTGGGAACTTCAGTCTTATACAGCTTTGGGAATCGGGCGATCTGGGTTTTTGTTCTGGTGATTTGAAGTCTTCGTGACTTGTTGACGTTTGCCCACGTGGGACTGAGGGGAAGGAATACCAGGCACCCTGCGGCTTGGTGCATGTTGGATATGTGTCAAACAAGGATCCCTCCAAAAATTGAGGTGTTGCTTTTGGCCTCCGTTGTAGCCAGGGCGGGAGCAGCAAGAAGGGAGGCAAATGGAACTCCGCTCACCGAGCCTTGGCTGCATTCGAAGGTTTTCTGGGGTGGGCATGCGAGCATGTAGCATCCGGTGAACATGGAGCCCAAACAGGCGGGCCCAAGAAGACTACTCTAGAAATGATGGTCATGTGGCTTCCATGCTGTACGTAGTTCACCATATCAAGGTGGAGCAGGCCCGATAGGCATGCTGCAAGAGGGGGATGGGTTCTCTCCAACCATATTCTGAATATGCGTTTTCTCAGCCAGCATTGTCTAGCAGCATCTGCTGAGTCCGATTGGAAGTTAGCCGTGCCGTGTGTGTGTGTGTGTGTGTTCCGCTGGGTGCTCAAGTTACCCGGCACGGCGGGAATTCAAGGATGGACGCCCGGGGCATGAAATATTTGGCACAAGCGTTACGCGAGAGAGATCGGCGGTAGCATTGATGCACACCTCATGCCTGATTTGACCAAATGCCGGTGCCTGCTGTCATTGGGCGTCCAGGTTGAGTAAAGCTGACATGACTCATCATCGGCTTGAACAGTGTCGTGTCACCCCTTCTATTTAAGCAAGTCTTGGCACACAAAGGGGACGCCCTTCAGACTTAAGCATGGTTTCATCAATCCTGGGACCGGTGTATGTCACATCTTTCGTGGGAAATACTGTGGATCGATGAAACTCTGCACCACCTAAGACACCCTACCAGCAAACAATGGTTGATCATGGTTTTCAAAAGGTGCGAACGGATTTCCTCCATCCACAGCTATTTTTCCGTTTCGAGACCCTAACATGGACTTGCAAATCGGGGGGGGGGGGGGGGTGGGGACAACGCTGTTCAAGTGAATAATGAGTCATGTCAGCTTTGTTTCAAAGGGATGCCCTTTCAATTGAGCCGAGTCTTTGAGCAAACTCAGCATGGTTGTGCCCAAGGACGCCAGCTGGCTATGTGTCGGGATAGGGGGACCGCCATCCCCTTAGGGTTTTTATAGTTTTTTTTTTTTGGTGTTTAGTGGTTGCATGTCTATTTAACCCACTAAAAGTTCGACTTTTAGCGCTGGATCTGAGGACAGCACAGGACAGCCTAAACCAACCTGAAAAGGTGGTCTAAAACCATGGTTGCGGGATCAAGCAGTTTATCCCCACTTCTGTGATATCTTCGAGAATCTCCCCTTTTTCTTGGGGGGCTAGTCTTTGGGAAGCTATTCTTTGCGTATCACAGCGGTCGTTTCAACCACAGCCGTGGGATTTCCGAATTTAACCCACTAAAAGTTGTTCACTTTGAGCGGGGGATCTGAGGACAGCCCAGTAGACCAACCTGAAAAGGTGGCCTAACGCAAAGCGCAGCGCCAGCCTTGCTCCAGTGAGGTGCGCCCGAGCCGCCGAAGACGGAGAACACGATGCCAGAGAGACGGGAGACTCATTTTCAGTTGCCGGACGATTGGTCAGGCAACCCCTTGAGGAACCCAAAAAAGAGGCTGGATTTGTTGGGTTCCATGTTAAATTGGTGGTTTGGATTGGTGGTTTGCATTCGGATTTGAACCCTTGCTTCTTGTAGAGGGAAACCACCCCTCAACCACCAATTCACCAATCCAAACCACCAATTGGCGGGAAGCTGAATTGGTGCAAGGAGCTCGGTTCTGCCCTTGAACCGGTTGAAGTTTCTTCTTTTGGTATTGGCGGCTGAGGAAGTGAGAGGCGCCGCTGTGGGCGATGTTGTTTGGGATCTTGGTTATCCAGGCGATGACTCCGATGACCTTGCATCTTTAAAGGTTCAAGCTTGGAGCGGGTGAGATCTCGATCTCGATGGCATTCGCCGAGAAAGCCGGGGTGATCGGAAGTTTCGGGGCTGCGATTGAACCTTAAATCCCCCGAACATGATCCTTTCGTAACATGGCAGCACGTCCCCACAAAGATGCATCCCTGGGCTCCGCCCATTCCTGGGCACAATATATTTTCTTAGTTCGCAGTGATGCGGAGGTCTTAATTAGAGTCTTACAATCAAAACTGCAATGCCTCTGAAGTTTGAGTGCCCTCGAAAGGAAATGGAGCTTCCAAGGTGCCCACCCACAGGTGCTACATTTGGTGGGAAGAAGGGTAGGGGGCGGTCGAGTTCTGATGTTTGAAGGATTCGAAGGGCTCAATGGACCGGCACCCCCCAACGGTCAGGTGCCATGGTGGGTGGCAAGGGCTCCGAAAGAGCGAGGCGCGGACCCGGTGATGCACCAAGCGCCCATGCTGGACATGTGCCTGGCCGCCGAGCCGGGGGCCCAGGCGTGTTGGAAATTTCCAGGGTTTGGTGCCACTCGCTGCTTGGAGACGTAGGAAGCAAGGCGTGGAACACGAATGACCCCGGCAAAAATCGCCAAACTGGTGTGGTTTCCTGGGGGGTCGCTGGGTTGATGTCCGCGCCTTTTGAGTTTTTACTCGGCAGCAGCAAGAGTTTATGATGTTGGCTCAGTGGAAATTGCGTTCTGGCTTTTGGCGCAGCTTGCGGTAGTACCCCAAGAAGTCAGTGAAAGTGGTGCTGCCTATTTTAAAGCGAGCTTATGTGGGGGGGGGCTGCGAGCTCACCATCAGAAAGGTACTTTACTTGGCGACCGCTTATTTCAGCTTCTCGAATTAGAGTAACATTTGCAGAATAGTTGTGGCACTGATTTTGGTAAGGTTTCCTGTATGAGCATGTCACAAAACCCTATCTCAGCTGTGCACGAAGCACTTGGTTGAATTCATTGGCAGGTTATTTTCATGATTCATCATTCTACCTTTACGACCTTTTCAGACTGTCAGCCAAGCTCGGCTAATGCGGAACTTGCCTGGTACCGGCTGCAACAACCAGCCCGCGCCGGGCAACTACGGGTGACGCCCAACATTGCGTTCACTCCTTGTAAGTTGTGGCCACTTGGGAACGCCACCTCCAGCTTCATGACAACCTATAGCCGAGAGGCTCAACGATACCAATGGCCAATGGCCCCATCCAGAAGTGGGATCAGCAAGAAGCTTCAAAACGGAAGGCAAATGTAGCCACCATCCCTGGTTAAAGCCAGATAAAACGCGCTATTTGTACACAGTGCCAGCGAAGTCAGCAAGCCGGCAGGATCGCCGAGGTGCATGTGCCAGATGAGCGAAGATGTGCCACCGCATCAAATGGCAGACTTCCGCGATGACCACAGAAGCATTAGGCATGCAAGGCAACCATTCCATCTGCAGAACTAAGCGTGTGTCCGCAAATAAGGGCCGTGGTCCCATTGCACCACAGCCTGTGTGCACCCTCACCGCTCGTGCCAGATCATCCTCAGCCTTGGCTGGGAGCCGGAAGTCAGATAGAAAGAACACATGCTCCATCACCAAGTTGTTGGCTCAACCAGCACGACCACCACCGCGGCTTTGAAGTACTCCAGATCCATTGGTCGACCGGGGCCCCTTAGCCGCCGCAGCCACGCCCCTGGCAGGCTTGGCCCAGTGGCTATGATTCATCATTCTGAACTGTGAGTTGGGGTTGCCCTTGGATAGATGGTAAGCAGATCGGCGTAAGATCGGCACATTGTGATTTCCGCCTGCAGCAAGGTCGCCCTGTCATTATCATCGTACTGGGTTGACGTTTCCATGTGGTGTGTTCATAGGTATGTGTGTGTGTGTGTGTGTTTATTTCTGTCTTTCTTTCTGTCTTTCCTTCTTTGATTGTTTGTTTGTTTTTTTCGGCCCTGTTCCCCACCACAGGCTTCCCTTCTCCCCCCCCTCCGCGCCTCTCGAGGCCTGGAGTGAGCCTTTGGAGGGCCTGCCGGAGCGCTAGCGATGGGTGCTATTCGAGTCGCTTTCTGGGTGAAATTGGGTTCACAACAGTTCAGGTAACCGGATTGGTGGTTTTGGAACTTGAAGCCTTGGTGCTTGTGGAGGTGAATGGGAAACTCCTCCTTCCCAGCCATCCTTGTTTTTTTTGCTTTTCAGTGTTTAGTTAGTGGTTGGATTTCCATTTAACCCACTACAAGTCAGCCACTTCTAGCAGGGGATGCGAGGACTGCCCAGGGTTCACAACACCCTCAGTCGGATTGGTGGTTTGGGGGTTTGACCGGGTCCCAGCGCCTTTGGAAGCGTGGGGAAGGTACCCAGCGTCCACCAAACCAAATTGCCAAGGGGTAAGGTGAAATATGTCAGAAACATGTCAGTCAGGTAGCCCGTAGTTGGTGGTTTGGATTAGTGGCTTGGATTCGGATTTGACCCCTGGTTCTTATGGGAAACCGCCCCGACGAAACCACCAATTAGTGGGAAGCTGAGCAGGGCTCCCCGGTTTGTGACTTTAAGCTGGATCCCCATTCTAGAAGGCAGGAACCCATTTTGTTTGCCCCTTGGTTTGCCACTTTTTCTTCAGCCACCTGGCCCTAAGCAGAGCAAAAAGAGCGTTTGGGACTTCAACCCAAAGCCGATGCGAAGCCCAGCCTGCACGAACCCCACCGTTTGACCGACCCCCAAAACTTGAAACAACCTCCACGTACTCTGACATCCCAACCCCAAGTCCAGCTGAAATAGAACTTATATATTAGCCGTGAAACTGCCCCGACAGAACACTAACATCCCAAAACCATTTTGCTGACCTGAATCACACCTCATTCTAAGTTAGCGCTGGAACTGTGTCTCCACAAATCAATCCCAACAGAAAACAGACCGAACGCCAACGCAAGCCAACCCACAGCTGTTTGCGACCACATCCCCTCGCTGGGATGCTTGTCAGTGACACTTCCATGTGTCATACCTTGAATCGGCTGAGGCTGTGTGTTTTCTTTCTCTGCGTTCATGTTGATGACCGCAGCGGGCAGGCTCCAGCATGAGAACGTATGCAATACCTGACTTATCGCAGCATTTCTTCCCCTCCAGGCTCGAGGTGACATGTATTCAACCAAGCAGTGCCTTAAAATCCCTAAGACGGACGGTTTTTCCATAGTGACTATAATTCGTGGGGGACATGAACCATTGGGTGTCCGCACCTTTCCCAACGGAGCCCCTACTTGTCGTTCCAAGTGCTCCTTGGTCTTGAGCTGGAGCCTCTGACCCATGGGCTCATCATGGAGCTCCGGCAAGCTGCCGGAAGAGCAACCGCCTGGGGTGAAGATGTGGGTCATCAAGGTCTCGGATTTCTTGAAATTGAACATCCCCATGCCGCCGCATGAAGAGTTAGAAGCTTCCAAGCTCCTGCACCGCTGGGAGGAGGGCCATTTCTGCATCTTTGTGTCACACCAGTGGCTTGGGAATCACCATCCAGATCCCTCAGGCTCGCTTGGCCCAGTTTTGGCCAGCTTTTGGACCCTTTGATGTTCTGATGTTGGGTTCCCATATTTTTGGCCTATGAAAGCCTGGTTCCAAAAGGTGATCCTTTTTTTTCAGATCCTGTCCAGCAGGGGCATTCAGTCTAGTTCCAACAGGTGAACATTGTTTTCCCAGATCCTGGCGGGCAGGTGAGCAATTTCAGATCTTGCAGGAGGCCTTGCGGAAGATCCTCGACGGCAGTACCACGGTGTCCCGGGATATCGTCTCGGAATTCTATGGCGATTCAGCGACTCGCTTGGCGATTCGCAAGCTTTTCCGCGCGAATCGATGGGATCTGACTTGATCTTTTGGTGGTTCCCAGCCGTCCCCCTGGTTTTCGCGTGGGGGATTTTTTGGGACGGCCCAGATCTGGCTTTTGCTTGGCCCGCGTTTAGTGACCCCAAAAGATGATCACCGTTGATTTCTGGATCCAAGCTGGCCTGAGGTGAGGTTCACAGAAGAGGACCGCTGCCGACTGCAAGGCGCATACTTGTGGCTCGACTGGGTCAGTGTGCCTCAAGCTCCGGTGAAGCTTTCTAAGCTCCCAAGCACCGCGGCATTTGATGAACTGAGCCCGGCGGTGAGCTCCCTGCGGAACACCCACAAAGTAGTTTTGGAGAAGCGAGGAAGCCTCACGACGCAGGATGTTCATATACTCTCCATTCCTTCCTTTGTGCAGCAGTCAGATATTTTCCTTGCCTTGGTTCCACCTTTGCAACACCAAGACACTGGCTTGCACTCGAACTATTGTAGCTGGTTTGACCGTGGCTGGTGTAGAATGGAGATGTGGTGCAAGATGCTATCAGAGAAAGCCAGCAGTGCATCTATGCCAATGATTGTAGTGTCTTCCCCAGACAGGGCAACGCTTGAAACGCCCCCTCACTGGATTGATCGTCCGCCGCATGAAGGGAATGTGACCTTTGACACTGACCACGACGTGATATTCTCGGTGATGCAGCATGTGCTCGACCAAAGGTTGAAGTTTCTGGGTGCAAAAGGCAAGAGTGACAGCTATCAATACCTCTTGGCGAGGTATGAGGCTATTCTGGGGCTACCAGTTCCTGAGTTGTCTTTGGAAGTATTTTGCTCTCACTTTGGTTTCAGCTCAGTGGAGGCAGCCACGCTGTCCACACGAAATATTGGAGCCATGGCTTGTGCAGTGGCATCTGGCAATGCAAAGGCCATCTATGCCCTGGCTGAAGCGGGTGTCTCTCCAAACTTGCACTTGAAGCCGGTACCGGATGTGCGGATCATGTCAAGTCTGAGCCTCATCCATCTAGCAGTGGATGTGAGTTGGAGGCAGCCCGAAGTTCTTCAAGCCCTTCTTGAACTGAGAGCCGATCCAAACGAGTATGATGACAACGGCCACCCGGTGCTCGGCTTTTGCCGAACAGCGCGGGATGTGGAGGCGTTGGTGCGTCACGGGGCTGATGTCAACCAACAGAATCCTCCAGCCAGCCAGCTAGCCATCAGTGTAGCTTGTGAGTTTATGGCGCCACCGGAGGTGATATCGAAACTCAGTTGCCCAAAGCGAATCGACCTTTTAACCTTTTTGTTTTCCATTCTTGGGTTCCCATTTTTAGTCATGGCCCCAAAAAGGTCAACCTTTTACTTCTGGGTCCCGGAAAAACAAAGCAAGTGAGGAAACTCTTGGACTGCGGCTCTGTGGTGAACCCAATGCCGGCGACCAATGGCCTTGGCTGTCCCCACCCACTTTCGATTCTGAGCTTGTGGGCGTGGGCCAATCCCAGTTGCTTGGAGGTGGCCCGAATCCTGGTAAATGCCAAGGCGGATGTGAATCATCAAGCCACTGCCACTGGGCGATGGCGTGCTGTGGAGCTTGCAAGCAGGGCCTATCTTCAGTGCAGCAGCTCCTCTTCCATGTTGCTGCACTTCTTTGCAGAGTGGAGCACCACACCTTTGGGCATGGCTTCTTTCTTCGGCAGTGAGAAGCTTGTTGCCTTCTTTTTGGCAGTTGGAGCCGACCCGGAAATTCCGAACTGGCGTGGCCACACTCCGATCCATCTAGCCCGTACACAAACAATTCTCGAGTTGATTCAGAATGACATGGCATCCACGTTTTCCATGTAGACATGCGCGCAAAGCTGTGTGCGCCTAAAGTTGCTGCAACGTCGCGAAGCGACGGCAGGTTCCGAATTATTCTTCACGCCCACGCCCTTGGAGCATCATCCCATGAAGGTATTTGGTTTCAAAACAGTGTTACTAAGGCAATCAGCTGGCATTATACCATTGAGCATGGTGATTTATCAACTACATTCGTTGGATGATGTCTAAACGTAGCGGAGGTGTCGGGTGGCATGTCTCGAGGCAAATCAGCCAAACTCGCGAGCTGAGGTCCAGTGTACTGAATTTGCACTCACCTTGGACCATCGCAGTTATTAAATTCCTTACCTAAAGAATCAATTCTTCATTAAAGCTGGTCTCTTGTTTTTTTAGAGCCTCATTTGCCTTTTTTTGCATGGGTTCTCGCCCCCGATCACCTTAGCTAACAGGGAATCCAAGGGTTTTTCCTCGGACTGCACAAGTCACTTGACGCCAAAGGCAAGCGTATGCGATTGCCCCGAGGTTAAAAGCCAGAACTTTCAGCGTCGTTTCTGATGTGTACGTCTGCAATCTCACATAATTTCACCTGCAACACCACGAAGAGATGAACCATGGCACCTCATGTGTCCATGTAGCTCGAGCAAACCCGACATATGGGTGTCCTTGTCGAAGCTTGGAGTGACCACCACTTGCGGGTCGGAGAATGACCAATGAACTGATCTTGCTTGCTTCGTTTGTCCAGGGGTCACACATCAAGTTGCGCTTGCATGTTTGATATGAAGGTGCTCAGTCGCTGTGACATGCCTGGAGTGTTCATTGGTTGCTTGTTCTGCCCTAGGGTAGGTTTCAACGCTTATCCGGCCATCAAGCCAATGACTCTCGGCATGTGTTTTTCTCCTTTTAGGACACCTTTTCACGCGGCATCAGTTTCCGTTGTCTTATGGGAAACCCTCGTCTTGTGGCCCAATGCACGTGCGGTTCCGGATTATCAGCACTCCGCAGGCTGTAAGGTTGAAGCCTGGCGAAATGAGGCCCCAACCACGTGCTGGCGCGTGATGTTACGGGCAAGCAGCTGCCGCGGCCCTGCACCACTGGAACTCGGGGTCCAGCTGAACTTGGTGTTCAAAGGATTCCAAGAGGAAACCAATTGTCAGGTACCGTTAGTCTGAGGGGTCCCTATTTTCTGGACACACCGAGATGGTCATTTTGTGGGGGTGTTCAGTGGTGCCCCTGCCATGGTTTTTCATTGCGGGTGAATGGGATGAGGGATTCCACCATTGTGAACCTGCTTCTAGCTATGGAAAACCATCGGCGGTTCCAAGACTCGCAGGCAAAGTCGCAGAGGTTCAAAAATAACTTAGAACTGGAGTGGACTTTGTGGCAGAGTTCTTAGCTTGCGGCTGCAGGGTTGGGGGTTTTCTTATGGCTTAGGCTACTGGTTGAACCTTTGGACTTTGACTTTTTTGTTGAAACGGTGGGACTTTGAATTGGACCCGCAAAAAGTTATTCACTTTTTGTTTGGCAGAGGGGTCAACAGCAACCAAGTTTTGATCTCAATGTCTTCCAGTGCCCAGTCGCTCCTGGCTTACCGGAGGCTTCACAATCAGCCGGACACGGGGACAGCCTTTGCCTGGCCGGGCATCCCGGCGTACTCTATAGCATTATCTTCGAAAAGGGGACCTGGCCTTCCATTTGGCTGTGTAGTGGGTAACCAAGGCGAACGACCCTTTAACAACCCAAAGGAGAATGGCTTGTTGGTTTTGAAAGACAGGACATGCCAGGAGGTTTCTGGCGACGTGCTAGGGGCCGCAGCTGGAAGGCAACCTGCTCACCCACACTAAGGCAGTGGTTTGTTTTGGGTCACCACTGGCATGCGGCCATGTCACCCATGATGAATGCATATGGTGGTTTTCTATCTCTTTCAGGCTTTGACCAGCGAAACTTGTGAACTCCTTCGTTCAGTGAGACTAGCCTGGCCCTCTGAACAAGGAGGACTCCAGCTTGATGTGCTTGGCTCTTTTTTCTTTTTTCATCTTTTTGCTTCTTTTCTTTTTTTTGGGGGGGGAGGGGGGGCGTATGAGAGAGAGACCAGTCGTCTCTCATGCTGCAAAGAGACACGCTCAGTTTTCTCTTAGGCGTTCTCGAACCATCGCAACACCTAAAGCCGCGTTGGTAAAGCGCCTTTCCCCCATGTTCTTATACCGTAGTCTCGACGGGTGCGTCTCAAAATGGGGGAGCTGCAAATTTGTTGGTTTTGCCCTGATATGCGGGAGTCGTTCTAAAGGTCCGTGTGAGGAGCTTAGTATTTGGCGACCATCGGAGTTGGTTGAGATACCTCCGCCAAAGATTCGCGCTGGAGTTGCGCAAGTATGTGTTTGTTTCGCTAAAGTTTTGTGTAGCGTAGCTGTTTGTGTTGAAAAATGGGCGACCATAATTTGTGTTTTGCCACGTTTGTCTCCATCTCGAGACAGAGGAATTTAGAGCAACCGCCATATCGCGATATCGTCCCCAAAAAGTACTAGACTCTCACAAAGACAGGCCCAACTCGTCAGCCTCCAGGGACATGACGAAAGTGGCCACCACTGAGCCAGCGGCGGGCTCAGGCTCCCGTCGATTTCAGAGATGGGCAGCACAAGTTGGCGGTAGCCTTTTTGGGTGTGGTTTGAAGGGAAACCACCAGAAAAAATAGCAATTTTTGGTTCCGCCCCTATTTTGACACATGCCCAAATGCTTGGTTTCCAAGTGGAAACTGCAGACCCCATTTTGAAGAACCCAGGTACGGTTGGATCCTTCAAAGGAAGGAGGTCTGAGTTGAGGCCAGCCGTAGCATGTGCTAACAGCTTCAGGCGCTTTGAGGGGCAAAGCCTATAATTCTTTGAGCAAATTTGGTGATTTTTGTCCTTCAACTGTTTTGGCTGAAGCAGGTGGGATTTTCCATTGGGCTCACAACAAGTTGAACACTTTTGCAGAGGAACTGCTGGCTGATGGGTCCAACATGCTTGAAATGATTCGTAGGTTTGTAGAACTACTGCTTGTCAGAGCGGCTTATTGCGGCTTCATTGTTTTTGGCCATATCTCTTCAACACATGCGTTTGCGGGCAAGCCGAGGTTGCGGTGGAAGACTTTGAGGAAGCCTTCACCAAAAGGTTGTGGAGATCTCAGAGTCGGCCTAAACGCAGGTTACTGGTGCTGGTGGTGTTGGTGCGGTAGTTTGGCACGCTGCTTATTCACTGCTGCTTGCTTTATGGACATTTGGTAACGGATTTTTGGACTTGGTTGAAGTTGAAGCAGGTGGCATTTTCCTACTGGGCCCACAAAAAGGTTACTTTTGGCAGGGGGGTCAGCAGAAAATATGTTTGGTTTGTCGATGTTTTTGGGACGCGAAGCGTGGGAAAGCTGGCCTTGAGACTATCTAGCCTTCGGCTTCGCCTTCTCAGAGTTTCCGGGCATTTTGTTTGCCTCTTCAAGGGGCGAACGTAAGGGCTACGCCCAGAAACTGGACGCAACGTAGTTTTTAACCCCAAAACCCGTTCTGAGTTTAGGGCCCTGCCAGTAGTCCTTTCCTCGCAGAGTCCAAGTGCTTCGGCTAGTGCTGGAGAGCCGCCATGTGCCAGAAGTGCACCTTGCGCGCGTGCTCCGGGACGCTACTGGCATTTTACATCTCTTCTGGTGAGTTTGGTTCAGCATAGATGGATTTGGTTTCTCAACATGTACCCAATGTTCTCCCCCCCCCCCTGCGGAAAAAGTGGTCAAACAAGAAGCTGGGCCCGAGCCTCAAAAACGAGGCATTCTCAGATTGATTACTCCCCCCAACCCCCCTGGCCAAGAGTAAAATGGGTCTGCATTTTTTTAGGGAAACCCGTTTTTACTTGGTTTCGAGAGGAAGCTGGAAGGACAATCACTTCTGTTTAGGGGGGTCCATCAAAAACAAGACACCCAAATACCAAGGTAGTGCAAAATGCAGGGTCGTTTGACCCCCAGTTTTTTTTGTTTTCTGCAGAGGCGTTTGCACATTATTTGTATGTGGGGTAGTTTCCCTATAAGGAAAATCCCAGGCTATGAATTTCCCTATGGGTAACTTCTATTGAACCCTGGTTTCGGATGATTCTCCTGCAAGTACCAACCAACATTATAGCTGCAATTATGGTTTCAAAGTGGCGGGAAATGAATTTTGTGGGAACGTCCTTCGAGTTGCCCTGGCTACGTATTGCCAAGCGGCGCTAAGAGCAGTTGGCGCGTGCTCGAGGCAGGCGGGGCTGTTGCGCCTGCGGGACCTTGCAGCGGTTGCGCCGCTGCCTGGGGTCCCCAGAGTTTCAAGACGGGAGGGAGGGACCGGGGCATCAATTCCCTGGGCGAGTTGGGACCAAGTGGTTTTAAGTTTGGGTGGTTAAAGGTGGTTTAAGTTGGTTTTAGGGCGATTGTGGGGTGGTTGGACAGCAAAACCAAAACCTAGATGTCCAAGGGTCCATTAAAAAGCGACCGCCCCCATGTTTCCTCTTTGGTTTGAACCTTTTGGGGCCATTACTGCGGGCTTCCTTTTGATGGGTAAGGGGAACGTTGTTTTTGTGGGAGTTGCAATGCTCAAAGCGGAATTGACCCCAAAGAAAGGTGCCAATTATTTTTACTACCAGTGTCACTGAACAACTGGAGTACTCTTGGCAAATTGAAGCGGCCTCAGGGGAATTTGCAGGGTTCACGCCGGGTTGGTGAATTTGTGAATTACTTTGCCCAGATGCAGGGGGCGGCCCCAATGGAGAGACGGTTCCTTGGTTATACATGTTCTTTTTTTGCAGGTAAAAGGGACATTATGTACGAGGGGCAACCCCCAGCTTCCCCCAATGCAGCAGGCCATGTCGCTGCATTGGCGGATGGTGTTGAATAGCCAAGCTGACGCAGTATCTAAGTGAGCTATCGGTTGGTGCCATGGGTTTTATTCAGGTGCTTCTCAGGACCTGCTACCCAGGCAGCTTTGGGCCAAAGCCCTGTTTGCAACTGTGACGGGGGTGGTTGGCGGATTTTGATTCGGC